CATAAAGAGTTCGCTTACCTGCAACGAAAAAACACGAAAAAGAAATTATTTAGTCAAGTCGTCTTATTAACAAATGAAAAAAAGAAATGAATAAATAACAAAAATTTATATATAAATAAACATAGACGAATGAGGAAAACATTGAAAAGATGTGAAAAATATCAGCCGCAGGCGATGCATTCAATTGAATCCAAGCAATTGATTGTGTTGTACATCAACTGAACAGAACATTAGTTTCTTGCACGTTCGTGATTTTGAACAGGTAAACGAAGAAAAAAAAATTCAACAACCACACCACACAGATCGGATTCGAGTGTGAAGGGAATCCATTATGAGATTTTCCTTTGGCTTTTCGTTTCGGATTATTTTTTTTCGTAGGCAAAACTTGCTGTAATTGTCAATTAGTTGATGATGTTCGTATGTGTCGATTGATGGCTTCGATGCCATTAACAAACGAAAAAAGCAGTCGTCTTACTATTACTATCGAGTTGTGCTCAAGCTGCTTTGTTATTCATATTTTTTTTCGCTCCCTCTATTCTATTACAAAATCCCGAGAATATTTGTGCATCGGTCCGGGCGCTACGCAGTGCATATGAATCGTTAAGTACACACACACACACATCGCCATTGCTGATCATTGTTCTTTTTGCTTCGACTGCTTTCTTTCATTCCTAGGCTCTATCTAAATGACAAGCGATGCATGACACAACTTATTGGCAAGCACAGGCATTTTACAGTATCGTCAGCACTTCGCCACATACGTCACACACACACACACACACACACACACACACACACACACACAAACAAAACACGGAACAACAACACATTTCGAGAGAAAAGAACACATCCATATCGAAAAAATTGTGTAAATTCTTTTCGATTGCGCGCTTTTCTTTTGCTGCGTGCCGATATGCATTCATAATGCTCATAAATTATTCAACTTCACTACAGCTACCTCAACTCGATGGTCATGCTGTCAAGATTTCGATTTTATGTGTTTGTATGTTTTCATGAATGCAATCGAGAACAGCTTTATTTCATTCGATTTGATTTGGTTTTGCTCAAAGTAAGTTTTTTTTTTCTTGTTTTTTTTTTATGTGCTTTTTTTTATTCCGTTGCATTCGCCCATGTCGAGTGAGTACTAGAAGTGTTCCGGTTCCATTAATGACAGCCCGAGAGAGGGAAAGAGAGATAAACCTTCTTAGAAAGCATTATCACGAAATTATTAATGCAATCAACTCGTTGAATGCATCCCTTTTCTATAGTAAGAGGTTCTTGCCAAGAGCTAGATCGATCTGGAGGAAATGAATTGATTCAATAGGTATATGACAAAAAGACGACCATTGAATCGCTCCAATATTCTCCACATATCTCTCTCTCTCTCTCCCTATCGCATACATTTCCATTTCTATGAACTGAAAATATCGATCTGTCTCTGATTGTATGGCACATTTCAGTTTCAAGATATTTTCGAATTCAACAATTCATATGAAATTTTGTAACAGATGCTTTAATTAAATCTAATCTTTATTAATTTGATGACGATTTCATACTTTTGAACTTTAATTAACGCCGTGGCGAATGTGAATGCGCGTGAGCGCGAGCACATTTCTCACATTATTAAAATCGATGATTTCGACTACAATTTAAACAAGTCAACCGTTTGTTTGTTCGCTCGTTCTTCTGTTAGCTCGCTCGCCGATCTCTTTTCTTCTCATTGTGCCACATTTCTGCAATTGACACGATGATATATTTTTTTTAACTCTTTATGGCTTTCGCTCCTAATTAACTATGTTTTTGTTTTGCTGGTGTCTTTCACCGCGCCGAAGTAGCCGAACAATATCTGCAATGATTGCGCATTGAAAGTGTGTTTGCATTGTTTGGGACTGCAGTTCGAATAACGAAGAAAAAAAGAAGAAAATACACACACACATACACACACACACAAACACGATGAAAATGAATTTTCGACGATAAGTAAGAGGAATGAATGAATTGAAATGGGATCAATTTCCTTTGCTATTCACAACTCGGTGAGCACACAAAAGGTGAGCATTTGAAAAATGTGCGCACAGCTTCTCTCGTCAACGATGTTGGCGATGGCGATAGCAACGACGACAACGAAATGCGGCGGTGATGGTGGCATATTCAAGAGAGGTGCGTATTATTTTCAGCAGCGGGAAGCGAAAAACAAACACACCAAGTTCTCTCATTCATCATAGCATGCTTGAAATTGTCTTACAACTAGCTAGTCATATCGATTGGATTGGTTCAATTACCTTCAGATAACTCCAAGTCAAGTTCTGCAAGTTTTTCGCGAACATCATCGGGAAGAGAGCCCAAGTCAACTGCCAAATCCGTCATAATACTAATGTAATAAATTTACGTTTGGTTTTGGTTTTTGTGTTGTTTTTCGGATTGCCGTGCTCGTAATTTGCGTGCGTTGTTTTTATTTTGAGGTATTTGTATAGTGCTATCGAGTCGGCTTTCTGGTGTCTCGTGCTCGGTTATGTGTTGTTGTCGAATGTCGGGGAAAATGGTTGAATTTTTTTGTTTTGTTCTTTTCTTCTGTGTGAGAGATGGATGATGATGATGCTGGTAGTACTGCTGCTGCTGCTGCTGCTGACGCTCACTTGTTTTTGTGCACAACAGTGTTACATTCACATAACTCGATTCACTTTTGCACACACATAAGAACGATGAACTTCTCACTCGGCATTCACTCACTCACTCACTCACTCACTTGCGTTCAGCCCAAAAATTGACATGTACACAACTACTTTCAGTTTTACTCACTTTTCGGCTTCTTATTATGATTTGAGTGTGTGTTTTATTTTATTCATTGTTTTTGTTTTGCATACCGTTGCTGCTTTGCGTTCGCTTCTCAAACTCATTCATCGTGCATTTGTTCTGTATGTTTTGTGTTTTGTTTTTTTTTTTTATTATCTTTCCTCTCTCTGCCTAACATTCATCTAATGACTCATCAGTTAAAATATTTGTTTCTTTTTCTGCGGTAGTTTTCTTTCTCTCTATCTCTCGATTTTATATCTATATCTATATATATATTTGTTATTATTTGCCGTTGTCCCATTCAACGCTTTCCAATAAATACCTATAACCAGTTTATATAGTATAGTTCTTTTGGTTTGATTGATCTAATTGAATAGAGAGAAGAAAAAAAAAACAAATTGAAACAACATGAAATCAAACGAAACGAAACGAAATAAAGTGCGGATCAAAATCTATAGTATGGAACGATATCGGTCTATTAACTCGTTCGTTCTTTTTGGAATCGAAATTGATTGCGAGTAAATCGCAAGTTTACAAGAAACGAATACACGGCCGTAGACAGTAAATGAAGAAGAAAAGTGCAGACGTCTCTTTCTCTCTCGCTTCTCTCACTCGGTCTATATTTTTTTTCTTCTTGCACTTCGTTTGCTGATATTTTATAGCGGCCTGGCTATTTGCTTGATAAATGGTTGGTATTGATTTAGCAGAATATTGTAGCCAGTTTGCCAACAAATGACAATACCTTTTCTAGTCGTATACCATTTTCTACACACGAAGCAAATGGTGTGTGTTCTTTTTTTTTGCATTTGGCAAATGGTTATCATCATCATCATCATCATCATCCGTGTATGTGCACATAGAGTGTATGAACTGAATGTCTGAGTGTCGTCGTCGATGTCGGTGTTGTTGCTATTGCTGCCGTTGTTACTGTGGTAATGTTTCTTAACGCGATTCGGCGAAACACTTTTTGCCGTACCGAAAAATTCGGATGCTCGCTTGTGACCCCTCGATTTTGACACCACAAATGCCACACTCACACACACACGCACACGCACACACATACAACGATTCGACAAGCGAAATTTCACACGAAATTGACGCGATTACGACTTTTATCTGCGGGAAATGTATAGCAGATTTGAAATCTCAAATACGAGGAAAATTAGGCCGTGTCTCTGTCGCTTTTTTCCGCACAATCAAAAATAATTTCACCGAATCACACTAGAACTTTCTTCCAGGTTGTCCGATGTGACCACACACATAATATTCCATTTCATTCAATCGATGAAACAAACCAAAATGCCTTTCAATCGACCCAATCATTCGGGTTAATTGCAATCATTTAATTCGCTTTGAACTTGGCTGGTCTCCCTCTAATACACATTCTATTTTTTTTTTCTTCTCTGTTTTGGCCTGGCGAATCAATGAAATTATTCGCGTTTTGTTTCACAACTCAACTAAAAACTCGATTTGATCATTGTTTATCGCTGAATGTCCCTTTTTTTTCAAGTAGAAACACACCAAAAACCACCCGTACTATCCATTTATAACATTATTTACTTTTTATTTTTTCAAATTTTAATCACAAAAGATGATGAGAAAGAAAAAAAAAACTTGACAAGACACTCAACAAAATTGACTAAACTGAATATCTGAATCATATCATATTATTCTCTTTCTTTCTTTTCGATTCACTAACATACGTCTAAAACACAGACGCTATAAGCATAAACCTTCCATTCGTCATGTCAATATTGAGTTCAATGTATTGAGCTCAATACACTGGCGAGCGAACATTTGGTTCGTTCTGAAACGTCGAAACGAGTGTTTTTAACGATTTTATGGTAGAATCTGATTAACGCTTTCAATCCTACGACCACAATTCCACACACACTGGGTGTGTGCACAGAATGTACGGGCACATTTTTTGCCAATTTTATGGTTCACCCATTATTTTGTAATCGTTGCATTTTTGATGAATAAACCCGCACATTCATTGTGACTTATTTTATTAAAATAATTTTCATTTACCAGTAGAAAGTTGTAAGGCCAGAGCAGGGTTAACAACGACCGCCATTTTTACGTTTCGTCTTGTCCGATGCAAGTCTTTGTGTCTGTCGAATGCGGCAAAATAACAATCTGGTGGTAAAAAGGTAAACAATATGTACACACAAACCCGGTTCAAATGCGAATGAAACGAACATGAATCTCTGTCACGATTTTCTTTTTGCTTCAAAATTATTACACATTATTTATTGGTCGTAATAGAATTCTCTTCAATCAAAAATCAATATAAATGTAATTCGGTGTATAAATTTTTCCTTCCATAAATTCATATTGGATTCTAAATGTGGCAATGTTGCATCTTGGTGCCATCTACTTGTGAATAGAGTATTAGGAGTGTGTTGAGTCTCGTTGATTAAGCAGAAAAAATGCGATTAGAATTTTTTGTATGGCAAAAATTTGCCAGACCAAACCAATCGACAACGGTCACCAGCCGGATCACTTTCGCGTTCGACTTTGATGGAGAAATCAATTGCACTAACGATTCCATCGCCGAATTCCTCGTGGATTATCTCTTTCAACGCTGGCCCGTATACACCTAACGCCTGTTGAAATTTCAAGAAAAAAAAATTTTGCTCAGTGAATGTCAATAATGGCAAAAGAATAAACATCGATTGAAGTTGAACAAAGTAAATACATTTTGATTGAATTACCTCATGTAAGCGATACAGCAATGGATCGGATGGTACTGTGCCACCGTTCAAGGTATTTTTATGCGGTATGGTTTGAAGCCAAAGACATTCTTGGGCATTCAATTGAAAATACGCTGCGACCGCTTGAGATTGCTCAAGATTCATTTGCATTTGACCCAAACATGCGGCTACCGTCCTTAAAAAAATAATTATTCATGAGATGTGTGTGTGTGTGTTTTTTTCGTCATTTTTAAAATTAGGTTCGAAATTTTCTTCTTTTTCATCATCCGAATGAAAATGTAGTTTCAATTAATGTGAAACCAAACTTTTGCTTTTGAATAAAATTCGATTTCGTTTTTGCTGTCGCTGCTATTCATAATTAAAATTGAATCTTTGCCGTTCGCTATTAAAATGAAGCTTTTTTCAACGGGTTTTCTTGTCTACTTTTTTGGATTTTCCATCAGCATTTCATTGCATGTGGACATTCTAATGACTTTGAAGCCGGTGAAAAATTCTAAGTGAGCAAAGTAAAAAAAAAGCGAAAAAAAAACGTTAATTAAATACCATTCCACACTTTGGTTGAGTTGCTCAGCCAGATCTCGCCACTTTTTTTGCAGCACGACTTTATGCTGTAGAATTCGCTTGGTTACATCTTCGCGGCACGTTGGCACAATTTCCGACATATTCGCAATTCGTTACGGAAATGTCGTTCGCGTTCACTGTGTGTTTGTGTTTGGTGCGTGTGTGTTTGCTTATGTGATGAACGAATGTTGGCCGAGAGGGCTGGAGTAAAAGGTCTCGAGGAGTATCTCTGAAAATAAGTCCACAACTTTGAAAATGACTGGAAAAGTTTGTGAAATTGAGCAAACTTAATGACTCTTAATTCGTGCTTTGAGTTTCACATTCGTCTAACAGTTTGGAAAGGATATGTTTATTTTTTTTTATTCTATCGTGTTTGGGGCTGTTTGTCTTTGAAACGAAGAGTGATGATGACAAGGCGAGCAGCAGCCAGCGCAATGACAAACGGCGACGATGATGATGTCAAAAAGTTGGTTGTTTCTCACGTTTTTGGCCGACCAGAAATTGAGAGAGCGCAAATAAATAAACACAACGGAGCAAATTACGATTGCCGCACAGCTCTTCTTATTACAACCATTAGAAACGCACGAATGAGAATACCAATCAGCGGAGAAAACGAGCAAGCAATTGTGTCAATATTTACATTGGACGACGACGACGGCCGCATCCAACAGATGTGATATTAAATGAAGTGATTGAGCCAAACTCTTCAAAGAAAATAGTCACTGCATTTAATTTATAAGTCGCTGTGTGCGCTATGCGATCATTTCCCACAGTAAGCCCGAAGCAACGGAAAAATAAACGACGAATAGAATTGCATTCGATTTCTAGGCGACTACTTACCAAAAATGCTGCGAATGTAATAAAAAATAAAACTATCCACAGAATGGTGCTGAAATTATTTTTCTCTATCGCGCGCGCGTGTGTTGTTGTTTTCTTTTTTCTGCTTGGTCACCGAAAATGAATTTATTAAATGCTACAACCTCACACAGCAGCAACAAAATATGCGGTACGTCAAGTACAATCATAAACGATCCGAAATCGAAATGCTACTGTCAGCCACTCTTTTCGTTTTTGTGTCATAGCTTTTGCATATACACAAACGTACAGTTCACTGGAATGTGAATTGAAATTGGTTTTGTGCTATCTCATAAACAATATTAGTTGGTGCTGCTTGACGCCCAGCAATTTACAGCTATTTATCAAGTCAGTCAGTGTGTTCTTTTTGTGTGTTTGTTCTCTCTTGCTCGTTTGCTCTCGCTTGCTCATTCGTTCACTTCGCATCTTCAGCACATTCAACCGACAATATGAAACACGTAATAGAAATGTTAATTAAAATCGTACGAACGCATAGAAGTGTACGAGGTTTGCACGTATGCACAAACCCATCCACAACTGTTTCAATCAAACTCTCTTTCTTTCTCCGTCTCCGTGTATCGTCGTCTCACTCCGGCGCTCATACCACTTGCTAGCAGCCTCATCGTCGTAGCTGGCTCCCCACAAATAATGTTAATGAATTATCGGTGACGTATTCAGGCCACATGTCGACATCAAACGAAATACCAACACACATAAATAAACTCAAACGCATTCGACTTTGACTGATCGATCAACAACGAAAGAAAAGAACAATACATTCGACTCGTTTTACGCTAGTAACAATTATTGAAAATTTTTATTTGAATGTATATAATAATAATCAAATAGTAGAGTATCTCCATTGTAATGTTCAAAATGGTTCGGGCTTAACATATGTCGGCTTCATAACCGGCCTTTTTATTTAAATTTATAACGATATTATTCTCAAAGGAGCGAAATAAATTGATATCTTTTCTAAAACGTTAACATAATTTCCCTACTACGACAAAACGGTCGCACAACTTGTTCATTAAATAGTTTTTGTATTTTTGTTTTCTTCTTCTTCTTCTTCTTTTTCTTCTTCTTTTTCTTCTTCTTTTTCTTCTTCTTCTTCTTCTTCTGTTTATTCTAAGCCTAGATTACAGTTCGAGGGAAGAACAATTCGTCACGGTGAAAAATGCACGATTTTCTTGTTTTGATTTTTTCTTTGATCTTTGCTTCGTTTTGAAATTAGCACGATTTTTTCTTTACTGTACTGTAAACTAGGCTTTAATTCATTGGGAGTGAAATGCATTGGCAATCACAACTGCGGCAATTGAATTCGCTAGAATTTCTGAAATTCCATTGCTTGAGCATCATGCGAATGAGTCTGATATTTGCGTTTATTGGCCGTCTTTGTCTGTATCTCTCGATTCTCATTGGGACATAATTTGGGAAAATGCAGACGGTTTGCGTTCTAACAACTTACTCGTTCTATCTCTTTTCTCTCTCTCTCTCTCTCTCTCTCTCTCTCTCTCTCTCTCTCTCTCTCTCTCTCTCTCTTTGGTAATCGATCAGGTACTTCTTGTTCTTTTTTTCTGCCTCTACAGTTTCTCCATTCTTCAACGCTTGCATCTTCAACACTTGGCTGACAATAAACTAACAAGTACCGAAAATCAACAATTGATTACTACCGTACACGCCTGTTTTATGTGAGTTATGGTCCATTCACCAGCAATATCATCATCAATTGGTAAAATGGCTGAGTTTCGTTGCGAATTTCATTTTCGTTTAATATGATACCGTAGAGATGGTGAAGTTGATGAGCTTATTCTCTATGTCTGTTCATATCCCTCTCTCTATATCTCTCCATCTTTCTCACACTCGACTGGTCTATATATCGAATGGAGATCGAATTCGAGGAAAAAGGAATAAACACGAATTGCGTGTACACTGTACATCTTTGCGAAGACTTGCAATGACGAAATTGGAATATTTTGAAGCTCAATCAATGAGAGTAGAGATAGAGCAAAATGGTAGAGCCAAACATGTGCATGATGCATAATGGAATTTCCACTAGATGCACTGCCGTATTCAGTTCATTTGCTAAAATTGTGATTTCCATTGCATTTCATCTGAAAATTACCGAATTTGAATTTATTTCCATTTGGCCAATTCTTGTGGATTCAATAAAATTTGTGAGAAATTGTGTCTGTGTGCATACATGCAAAAACAGGGGTTTTTGGCTATCAATTTTCATTTTTCCTTTTCTCTTACAAACCCTCTCTTTTACGCTACGCTATATCTATTAAAACAACTTAGATTTTGTAGCCATAACTTCAAAAATACCGAAACGAATCATTCCATCAATTAGTGTAGACAAAATTAATATATACTTTTCGGTTGCAAGCAGAAATATATATTCTCATTCGTTCTTATCGCAAGGGGATGACTACATCAGAGCGGTACACAGCAAATTAAAGTGGGTGGACTAAAGAATAATCTTTTCTTTTTTTTTTTTGGTGCAATTGCGTTTAAAAATAACGGTGAATTTCCGAAAGAAAGTGAAGGAAAAAACAACAACAAGCCACGAAACGCTCAAAACCAACAAAGAAGCGAAATGTGATAGTTAAAACAATTCAAAGTAAATTTTCATTGCATTCACATTCAATTTGGAGTGGTAAAAAGCTTCGAACAATTTAAATATATATGTATAAAAAAGACCTGTCTCTGCCGTTTTTTCTACCGATTCTAATTATTGTACGTCAAATACTCTACCACACTCTCTCAATTACGAATCCATTGCTGTTGTCCGGTAGCCAGCCCCTTGGTTCATACTTTATAATTGGACATTGTTTGAATAGTTCTCCGCTCATTTGGCATAATAATTAATGGTCAGCACGAAAAATATTTTTGCGCTTCGTATTCGAAAATGTGTATGTGTGTGTGTGTCTGGGTGTTCTGCTTTTAGGATGTGCTGTGTGTATATGTATGAAATGTGGATAGATATGTGCATTTCAAAACGGACCCCAAGTGTGTTAAAACGGGGTAAAATATGCAATCACGGAGAGAGAAAATACTTTTCGGCGGTGCTGAATATCAATATGATTACCAATCATATTTTTGTTGTTGCTGTCGATATAACTATGGCTTTAAATTTTTTTTTGTTTTTTTATTGTACATGCTTTTTTCAATTTTTTTTTCTCATCTTCGCCTTCATTCTTAAAACTATAAAATGAATAACAAATTGTGAGTGCTTGAATGCGATTAATTGCACATTTCACGAAAATCGTTCACGCTCTATCGATTATTACGGGCCACCATCATTGGAAATTAATCCGAGACAAAAGTATGTGAGTGATGGAAGAAAAAGGGGAGACTGCTAAGGAGGTAGGTTTGTGAGAGACTGTATGAATGTGCAAAAAAGGAGGTTTCATTGTGTAGAATATAGAATGTGTGGTGGCCACCAAATTGCATGATTATTATAAATGCCATCAATAAATTGCTAATAATTCTAATAAATAGCGCGCTGGTAATTTGATTCTTCGCTCTGTTTGAGACGATTCCGACCCATACACATAAACACTCTCGCATACACACATTAATACATATTTTTTATACACATGTGGTACCGTGTCTGGAGAGTCATTGCTTGATGTCGTAGCACATGCGTTCAATGACACACCAATCACATGATATCATCTAAGAAACCACTAATGCTTTGCCAATGCACACACGCACACACGCGCATGCATACGATATAACTCATTCATCCGCTCGTTTACTCGCCTTTCAATTAACAAATTGAGCGAAATAATCGCATTCAGAGCACTCGCTTTGTATGTCTTTTTTTATTTCTTCAAATAGAATAACGATGATCGGATTAATACTTAGAGACTCTTTCATCTTGTCTACAAATGGTTCACTTGTTTTCTTGTCTAATTCACTCGGTCTCATTCCCTCCTTAAAACTCGTACTCTATCGATTTGTATGCAATAAATTTTATGATTATGACGGACGTTTTTCATTTTCAAATACTACATATGATATAACAGTTCTCGAAAAAATTAGCCCGATGCGGCTATAAAAATTGTGTAACGTTTTTTTAAATTTTAGATTTTTTTTTGGTTTTGGTTTTGTTTTTGTTTTGCTTTTGTTTTGTTCTTTTTATTTTGGTGAAACCCTCTGGCGGAGTTTTTAATGTAAAATCACAATATTCATTATTATATGGAACATGTTCAGGACTTAGTTAGCTTGTTGTAGGGTAAATTGGACACTTTTTTTTTTGCTTCATTACATTTGATATTGGATGCGTTTGTGTGTTAGTTAGTTTGTTTTCTTGTTTTGTCTATGGTCTATATATTTTTTTTTTGTTTGTTTTAAATTTGAATGATAAGCTTCCTCCTTCAGACTTATTTATTGTTGCTCTGTTGTTCACTGAATTTGACAATCGTCAGATGTATTGCGAATTTGGGCTTTGGTCTTTCGAGATGAACGTCGTATCAATGATCTGCGAAACAAACAAAGAAAACGGTAATCGATACAATGTGTTGTTACTTTTCAAAGTGGAGTTTGTTGTGAAAAGTGGTTTTGTTTTAGTGGTTCTTGTTTGTTTTTCGTACCTTGATCTTGGTTTAATTCTACTCTCGGTTACTATTGGAGCGCCATCGCTAGATCCAGTTCCAGTTCCAGTGCCACTTCCTTCTTGTACCTGCGATTTATCGCCCACCGCCGAATGACTCAAACGGGCTCTTGCTGCAACAAATTGGACAACAAAATCGATTAATAAATATATCATTCAATCGAATATATTATCATCGCTTGAGGGAAACTAGAAAAATCTCTGTGTGTGCCCACACACATACACACACACACACACACACACACACACACACACACACATATACATACAAAGGCAGAACAACAGCAAAATCAACATGAAATGGTTTTGCGTATATTCGACTTGGAATTTGTTATTTATACTCGCTTCCATGCAAATTGAATTAGTTCTATAAATAAAACGATTTAATGTTCAAAGAGAAACTCATTCAGATACCAAAATAAATTGCATATTCATCATTTATCAAAGAGTGTGGATGCGAAGGATATAAATAAAATTATACTTTTTGCTTCTTCTTTTTTCTGTTTGTTCTTTTCGGATGGAGCACGTCGAGATGGAGACAGTGGGAGAGCCAGCAAAGTGGTTAAACGGACGATGAAAGTTTTAGGGAAGACAAACTTTTCTCTGTATAAAAAATTTATGGATGTTGATGTTGGTTTAGGGAGAACTGACCTTTACTTGTTGCACTAACATAGGCTGACGAGCGTCTTTTCAATCCTGAAGTGCCATCATCACCGCCGTCAACGTGCAAGACTCGCGACAATGATACAATCGTACGAAAACATTCCAAAATATTATTATCATCCTTTGCAGAGCATTCGATCACCTTGACTCTGTACAAATAAGAACAAAAACCAGAGAGAGAAAAACAGAGAGTAAGTGGAGACGAAAGACTTGCGATACAGTTTACAACGTCTGTCCCTCTGTGGTACTTATTCGCTAATTCAACTGACCTTAATTTTGGTAGCTCACAAAAAACCCACTCGGAAACATCTTCAATCTGAACTTCTCGATGGGTTGATGCTAAATCCAATTTGTTGCCGGCGACAACGATCGGTATTTCCTATTGGATTGAAAGCACAGAAAAAAGAATAAGAAAAAGACGAGCAAAAAAAACTTGTGTTATGTTCAATGTGTTGGCTGTTCTGTTTTGATTTTTTTTTTTCTCTCGTTATTTTGTTGAGGCGGTTGCTGTATATTTTTGCCTCATACCCTGGAAATGAGAGTGACACAGCGTATTGCCGTGTGCAATGCCTGATAATCGATTTAAGGTGCAAACGGGTGCACTCATTTGTATATGAATAAACAACACAAAAAGATATACCTGATAATCGGCTCTTTGTTCTCTAATCTCTTCGAAACACTTTTTGACGCTTAAAAAGCTCGGTGCCGATGTTGATGCATACACGAGCATAAATGCATGTGCCGTTGCTATTGATAAGCGTCTCATTGCTGGAAACTGCTGGTCTCCAGAAGTATCTATGGATGGGTTGAGACATTGAGAGTTTTACAGATTTTGTATTTGGACGAGAGAAGAAAAAAACAAGCAGAGTATACTCACCCAATATATCCACCTAGACAAATATCCCAGCAACAACGTCCATAACGTAGCGTCGAAAGGAGAAAAAAAAAAACAAATGAAAGAATAAATAAAGACAGTGGCAGAAAAAAAATGAGGAAGAGAGAGAGAGAGAGAGAGAGAGAGAGAGAAAGGAAAAGAGAGGAGGAGAGAAAAAAAAATTCGCTTTTAGACATGCTTACATACGGAAAATATAAACGCAAATCGCATCGTCGAACTTCGGTCTCGAGTATCCAACGAAAATTCAATTATTGTAATCAATTTACTATGCGATGCGAATGGAAACACTCTCACCCACTCTGTGCACAGTATGTGTATGTGCCGAGGCATTTTTGCCCATTATGGAAAACATATTTGCGAAGATCTCTCTCTCTCTCTCTCTCGCATCCTCCTCCGCCTTTCTCTCTCTCACTCTCTCTCGCTCTTACACGCTGGCGAAACGATTTGGAAAACATGGCATTTCCATGTCATGCCATTCACGTGAAGATTTTTGCGAGATTTTCACAAATCCAATTTTCGTGCGACAGGAAAACTTAGACTACTATCCGAATCGACAGAGAGATGGTGAGCGACCGAGGTATGGCACGCCATGCTATCGTGAATGTGATGGCGTTTGGAGAGAGTTTTGTGCGGAATGCGTGCAAGCAAGTGAACGAACGAACGAACGAACGAATGAACGAACGAGCATAGTGAGCACACTAAAAATTTAAAACTTAATTCAAACTAACATTGAAACCATGGCTTGCAACTTCCTACCTCAAAATACTCGAATAAAAATGAAAGCAGGTTGCCTGATTTGATTTCGATAATAAATTCTAATCGAAAATGCAGGAAATGCATCGTAAATATCCTGTCTCTATTTTCAAGGATATCATTTCATTCGGAGAAAGGAGAACAAAAAAGAAACGCAAATGATAATAATGAAGAAGTACTTCTTTTTTTTTTCTAAATTCGTGAGTATAGTTGGGTTACCTTCAGTGTGACGTTGCCAAAATCGTATTCACGATTGTATAAATCTTCGATGGTTGCTCGGTATTTGTCCGAGTAGCTTTTAAATAGGAACCTCTTAACGATGCACGATTTGCCTACGCCCGGACCACCGAGAATTACGAGTCGCAATCGCTCTTGTAAATCCGACATTTTCCACCACCACCACACAATACGTATTTCAAGCCAACCGTCCAAAATAATTTCGCGCGCGCGTTATCTATCTTTTTCTCTCTCTCTCTCTGTCTGTCTGTGTGTTCCTTTCTCGCAATAGAAACAGGATCTCTCGTCGGAAAAATGTTGAGCTTGGTTTTTCGGCGCGAAACAAAAACTTATATGTTAGCACTTAATGCGATGTTCTTTTTATATGAAAGAATTGCCCTGTCATCGAATCAGCTCGAATCGCAGTTCATCACTTCCTCAAATAGGCAGGATTAGTTTGATCACGTGTTGATTGTATTCGTATTTACTAATATATAGCGTTTTTCCATAGAAAAAAAATATTCACATCCGATTTAATTCATCTAACGATGATTTTGATTTATTTCGCGTGACTCTGCAGGAAAAAAAAGAGAGAGAACAAGAAGAAGAAAAAGTGAAGAGACTGTGTGAACAAAGAGTGCGATGAAAATAGATAGAAACCGAGTGTATTTAATAAAATGTCGACTTGGTTTATTTCGTCACAGAATATATAAACCGATCGTTTTGCTTTGTCCTTTTCTTCTTTGTTATTGTTATTGGTTGTGTTATTCTTTTTCGGACTTGGGCTTGGACTGGCACTGGGCGCTTTTTACGTTATATATGTATGCTTTGCTACAGTACAGTGACCAACCACCGAATCTCTGTATATCAAACTGAACACGTCGGAATTCGACTGAGAATGCCGCTTTCCGATTGACTGTGAGACACCTTCTCACCGCACTGCATGTGTGACGAGCAACAGAATGACCATATATACATATATGTATATTGGTAACATTTTCAAATAAAACGGTGTGTTGTCATTTTTGCAATCAGCAGCAAGCATGAAGAGAGGAATGAGAAAAATTAAATGTGAATGCCTTGTTTTGCCAGCCCCATATATTCAAAATCACGCGCCGTTGCACAACACGTTATAACATTATATGTGCAGTGTGCATATCGATTATCTGTCGCTTTGAATTACACGCATATTCATTTTGAAAACAACACTCATTGATGTCTTTCAACTGTACACAATAATAGATTATTCCTTTTTTTGCTACTGCTGCTGCTGCTGCTGCTGTTACTACTACTACTACTACTTCTACTACTACTAATTTTGCTGCATTGCTCCCGTGTACCGTGTTCGGTGTGTCCTTTTGCCAGTTACCCACGTCAATGTGACACAAACGGTTCAGCTTTAATATGAAATGTTCTGAAATTTATTAATATGTAAATGCAGCAAAAGTCGATAATTGGTTGCGGCGCATTCTTCTCACTGTAGAACGCCTTACAGCATAGTTGACAGTGGCAAAGTGGCTGTGGCCAGAGCTCTCATTTTGTATATTGCTATATCTGGAACTATTAGTAGCTGCTGTTTATAGTCAATAGCTGTGTATATTTTGAAATAGCAGCTACCGAACACTTTGTTCGGAATTATTTCGAACGTTCCATTGGATTTTTAAAAGTGGAAAGATAACGTTCAATTCAAAAATGTATGTGGATCGATAATTTAACGTAATCGATCCACTTCCAAAAATCCAATGGAACGTTCAGAATAATTCCGAACAAAGTGTTCGGTAGCTGCTATTTCAAAATATACACAGCTATTGACTATAAACAGCAGCTACTAATAGTTCCAGATATAGCAATATACAAAATGAGAGCT